AATCCAACATTTCACCCCATCTTCCAAGCCTGGAATCTTACCCCAGTTCTCCACGGTGAATCCCCAACAGCACAACAGATCTGGATGGGATGGCTGTGCCCAGAAAGCACAGCTGGGGCAGAGGTGAGGAGCAAAGCTGCTATGCATGGCAGTGATGGATCCCACACAACACCCGACTCCATAGCTGCTGGCTCCAAGTTCTCTCTGTAAACCAGGAGCCCAGGGACACAGAGCAGCACCTCCCGCAGCTTGGGAGAAGGCTGATCTTTGGGAAATCACGTGGCTCTTAAAGCTGTCATTAACTGCACAGCCAAAACTCTTAAATGGGGCATGAACAGCTCTGCCTCCTTTGGGAGGCCACTGGACAGCTCTGGGAGTAGCTGGAGAGGCTGCACCTTCCCATGGCTAGAACAGAGCAGCCCAGATTTTGGTGAAAGCCCCCACAGGTAGGACAACCCAGCAGAAAGGATTGTGCCTGCTGACCAAACCACACCATTCTGCTCCCTCACACTGAGACAAGGGAAGGAGGGAACAAACTCAGCTTCCCACAGGTAGAGATCTCAGCTGCTGGCTGTGGCTCCATCCACCCTGCCCAGATCTGCAAGGAGTCTTTGCCTACAGCATTTCCCGCAGGGGTTTTATTTCCTACATAACATAATTTGCTAAAATTTTGGCAAATCACAGAGTGAGACCTGCATTTCCCTTAGTTCTTTTGTTGTCATGAAGTAAAGTGTATTTAGTGAGTTTAGACCAAAGAGAGGTGTTTGTTCAGTTGAAGATTCCAGTTGAAGAATCGAGGAATGTCAGAAGGAGGAGCCTTGACAATATGGAAGTACCTCAAGGGGTTGATCCTTCTTTTTGGGTCTTTTGTTCATGGATGCACAATCGTTCTCTTCATCATCTGAGAACACTGAGCCTTTTGTTTCACAGTTTGTCTCAGGTGGCTTCTCATACCTAATGTCCACACTTATTTCACCTATTTAACACAGCCATTTGCAGCCTAAATGTGAACACACGGAATGAGGAAATCAGTGATAGTTTGATTCACACAAACATCACTCACTGCAAAGCCATGCATCTTCCAGAGATTAATAGACAGAAGAGTCACACATCACACTCTAATAATAGCAGCTGTGGGGTTAGAAATCAGAAGGCTCTTGTTTACAAAGCCATTATAAAGTCTATTTTGATTATTTTACAGGGAATTGAGACTAAATTCACAGCTTCTGATGTTTGTGAGGTTGACACTAGAAAGAGATTTTTTTGTTTGTTTGCTCAGGGATAAACAAAATAACTAATTTCTTGAATTGCTGGTTCCATCCATAGCTCCTGCATCTACTGCTTCCTCTAGAAGGCTCCAAATGGGTGTTGAAGTCCTCTGGTAAGCACAGAGAGACCTGCCTGGGATGCAGAAATGGGAAACAGTAGCACTTACAGACTTGAAACTGAGCGTGGTCAAGGCAATCACTCAATCTGAGATCCACTGAAGTTCACAAAAAGCTTCTCCAGGCATTGAATGGACCCTCAGCTAGTGGGTTGTTTGCTGGAAAACCAGAGCAGGGAGAAGTCTCTCTTCTGTCGCTCTGGAGTAAATGTGGAGGAGCATTAGCTCTGCTGATGGACCTGAAGGCAATTTATTGCCCTGTAACTACAGACCACAAACACTTGGTGGTTCTTATCCTTGTAAATTATGTCACAATCTTTGTGGGACTGGTCGTGTTACACAACACAATCCATTTGCTGCCTAAATACGGACAGTAAATGAGTAAATAGTATTTTTATGACCAGTCCAAAGCAAGAGGTACAGAAGAGGAAACTCAACATGACCAAGTTTCCTGCTCTCCATAGTTTCTTGCCATCAGGGCTGGAGGTTTCTCTGTTTAACTGAGAGGGCTTTTTTGATTCCAAAACACAGTAGGAGTGGAACTATTTGCTGTTTAGGTGGTACTAATCAGAATTACTGGGTTGATACTTTGTTGTGGGAATACACATAGAAATAATGCTCTGTGCTTCTTGTCTCAGCCTGTCTGTAAGAGTCTGCTGGACCAAAGACTAAACCCCAAAGACCGAAACCAATGTGTTCCTAAACATCTAATACTTACTAATTTTACTTATTAATCCATTTAGATTCTTAAAGCCCAAAAGAACTGAATTCTTTGACAGCTCTTTCAGTTGGGTAACAGACAGAGGGGAAATGATTTGGCTACAGCAATACCACAAGTCATGAGCAGGTCACTGGGGCTCTCTCCAGTGCCAAACTAAAGTCAGCAGCTCTCAGCCCACAGGATGCAGCTGCTGCTCGAGACAGCAGCCTGTGCACACCATCTCTGCCCACTGACCCCGTGTTTCTACCCCTTTATCGTCATTCACATGGGCAGGCTGGAAGACACCACTGCAGGTTTTCAGGAAGAGCTGGAAATTGACTTTTTCCCCAGCTGTACTGACAATGTTGATAGTCACGCTGCAGAGAGGCCCAGGATAATGCTGAAATGTTTTTCTTCTGTGTAGAACAGTAGTGTGAAAACTGCACTGTGCAGAGAATTAAATGTTCTCTAGACCACATGGCAAAATAGTACAGAAACATTTTGGTTTACTATTTTATCCCTCCACTTGGGAAGTGATCTACCCAGGAGCAGCCTAGCTTAGACCCTCTTGGATGGGGAAGCTGTTCTTTGCTGCCTGCCTAAGCCAAATCAAAATTTAGTCAAACTTAGTAGAAGTGGGTCAGGACTTCTTTTAATGGTGTCACTGAGGTTTACACAGTGGCACAACAACACATTTCCAGCCATGTGCCACTGAGAGCAGACAGAGACTTTCACCAGGGAGAACTGCTCTGAATAGGACAGGATGGAGGAGAACCAGAGTTAGGATGCACAGTGACCAGTGAGAAGACACTGGCTGCTGAGGCTGAGTGGATAGAATAATGAAAATGTACCCTGCTCCCGTCCTACAGCCAGACACTCCACAGGAAAAGGAGACAGAAGGAACCTTCAGTCTCATAATGCTTCTGTGAATCCCACAGTTTTGCAGCATACATTGCTTTCTTCATTACTGCTCTCTCTCTTTAATTAGATGCAAAGGGCAAAAAAGGGCAAAAAAGATACCCAGGGAGCTCTGCCACCCATGTCACCTCCAAAGCAGGCACAGTCTCCTGCAGGCTTTTCCACTCTCCCCATCAGTCCAAGCATCACATCCATGTCTTGAAGCTGCTTCCATGAAGATCAAGAGGAGAGCTCAGCCTCCAAACTGGCACATACTGCTTTGATCCCTGCAGCTGAGAGGTCTGTAAAGTTCACTGGAAGTTGGGATGGTGCCCTCTTCTTCCCTGCTCCACATCATTGTGAATGGGACACTGAAAACCAGCCAAATGGGAACCAGTTTTGCTTCAGTCTCACTGAACTGGAAAAAGGAAGAAGATGGGCTATTCCAGGCTTTTCCACTACTTTTCTGGCTACTGATGAGAACAGATCTTGAATACACATGGCACTTTCCTTGAGACCTGGAATAAGAAGGGAGCATTCCCTGCCCATCTTGCCTTGGGAAGGACTTCTGTATTGTGAGCAACCCACGCTCGTATTGATCTGTCAGACTTTGGGGTGCCAGACTTTGTCCCATGTTTGTGGAAACATTCTGCTGTTGTGGGATGGCAGAGAACTCATCTCTGAAGAGTGGCTGCTATGGGAGCCCCATCTCTGAAATTCCTCTTTTTTTGTGAATATAGTGATGACATGATAAAAAACTGGATTTCTGACACCAAGAGAATGAGTAAAAACATAAAGCAGGGGGTTAACCAGAAAAACAAACACACATAAGGAACTGGTGAGAAAGGAGATGAATCTCTAAAGTGAATGAAAGGGTTCTGGGACAACAGAACTTATTACCACAGAAGGTAAAGATTGAGGAGCAAAACATGTTGTCAGGGCTGGAGCGTTTTGAGGACAGCACTTAGCCTAGGGTGACCTCCTGTACGTTTCGAAGAGCCATGTTTATGATCCGAGGCTGCAGGGCCCCAGGTCACTATCAGATGTCCCAAAGTAGCAGAGTCAGCAGTGTTCACTGCTCCAGGGAAGCAGCCAAGAACCCCAGGGGCTGTCAGAGCCAGGAGGTGGCTGTGTGAAAACGTGGATCATACACCAGGCCTTTGCCTGACTCTGTTTGGGAGACTCTCACTCCCCATCCCAGGGCAGGCTGTGTTTTAGGTGTCTCCACCTGTTACATTTATGGCTCCACATCTTTGTGTGAAGGGGCTGAACTGCTGCAGAAGTGGGAAATGGGCTGGTGCCAGGACTAAAGCTGCTGCTGCCTCTTGCAAACACCTTTTCAGTGCACAGACCAGATTACAGTCCTCTCTCCACTAAAGCAAGACAGAATAATCCAACTATAAACAGTCTAAGGAAATGGATCCCTTAATTCCAGTTCCTATCATTCCATCATAATTCCTCCCAAGGGAACTGATACAGCCAACACATTGTGTGGGAAGCCCTGAAAATGGGCACATTTCATGTTAAAGTAGATGTTTGAGTGCTCTGCAGGGTTGGGATTGGAGCTGTTATTGCACCTCAGGGAACAACCCAGCACGGACCAGGAAATGCAGGGCCAAATCATTGCAATCTTTGATCTCTGTGATTCAACAAGGCTAAGAAATTTCACTTGAAAAACTCTTTCTACAGCAATATCTGGGATTCAGTAGAGTGATGGTTTTTTCATCAATCACTTGGTTCAGACTCTGGTCCATGCTGCCATGTAAATATGTAGCAAACTCCTACGGATTTTCATGACTACAACAAAAGTCAGGACCTGGTCCACTCTAATTGCAAGTGAACAAATTACTTTGATCTAGATCCTCTGAAAAATCTGGACTCTTAAGTACAGTTACAGTGGGAATCAGGCAACTTTGACATTGGACCTCCCCTTATTTTTCTAGGCACAATACTTCTTTCTCCCATCACTTTAATTCCTCAGGAGCAATGGGGAAAACCAGAGTCACACACTACACAAACCAAGAGTGAGGTATTGTATTATTGTAATGGAAGGTGAAGTCTCTCCAAAGTTAAGCCTTTCCAGGGGATCATTCATATAAAGAGGTTTGCACACCACTTAATAAGCACAGGAGAACAGATATTTATTATACGATGGCCATCAGCTTCTTTCCCCTGCAACAAAGATAAATTCACCATCATTTCCAAAAGACATTGACCCAAGTCCTGTACTTCCCCAGCAGTTTTCATTGCCAAACCAAGGAGTTAGGAGCAGCCAACTATACCAGCACACACTGCCCAGGAGCCACCAAACAGAGGCAGACATCCTTTCCAAAGCTGGAGTCAAATGCAACCAAAGCAAACAAGCCTAATCACATCAACAAAGTCATCCGTTAATGAAAACACATCCCACAAATGAGTGAGTTGTTAAGTGCTAGTCTATTCCAAACACCTCGGAGGAAAATTCATGCAATCTGTAACACTTACATCAGAGTCCCATAATATTTACATAGAGAAAAAGAAAGAATAAACTGTTAGGAGAAAACATCTGGGTGCAGAGGGGGAAGGAACATTGTTTCAGGACACAGAAATATTCATCTTTGCTTTTATCATATCTGTCATTCAGATGGAGTTTATTAAAGAACAATTAATGTTTTAACTTTCTGCTGGTAAAATGCAAATGTACTTTAAAACTATTGATTTCCCGTGAAATTTCTTCCCTGAAATAACCAAAATAAATAAGAAACTATTTTTAAATCTCGAAAATAAATCACAAATTTCTATTCAGAAACACCAGTGCAAAGTGGTGCAAACCAGCCCTGTAAAAATTTGCTTCAGTATTTAGAAAAGGGAAATTTTAAGGAAGAAAATGCCTAGAGCAACAGAAAATTGTTGTTTGTTCTTTAAGTTCAATAAGGTTAAAAAATATCCCCCAAATGAGAGCTGGAAGCAAAATTGGCTAAGATCCAAAATAAAACCACCTACACCATTTAATTGAATTCGTTCAGAGATGTACAATCAGGCCCCTTGACACAAAGTCAATTAGTGTTTTTAAAGCACTTTCCACTGTAATAACTCATGTGTGCTTCTTAGCATACCACAAAGAAGGGGTTGGATTCAGCCAATAGACCAATAATGTGATTTGTTTAAAGCACAATTAAGTGGATGTCCCATGGAGAACCTTGGTCAGCTGCACTGCTGGATGTGTGTGATCTGTCACCTTGTGGAGCACAACCCTGCAGTGCACACTCAACACAGACCATTCATCACTAATGTCCCTGCACATTCCTTACACTGCCTAAGGCTTCTGATCAGCATTTTAGTATTAAATGCCCCCTCAAGTACTTGCCGTCCCAAAAATTGTCCTCATACATAGCTGATTCTTCAATTCATGATAGATAAATTTATTCTCTGCAATAATTAAAATGGTTTCTCCCTCTCAACCATGCCCCAGGTCTTTGCAACAGCACCTAAGAGACGTTAGTTGAGAGAACACGACCAAACATAATTTTGTTACTTCTTAAATGCCAGTCACAAGCAAGATTGTTTAATATCGAACAGCATTTAAGCATTTGCCAAGCACTGCCAAAAGACAAACAGATATCCCTGGAGATTTTCACTCTGTCCTCTCTGAAAGGGAAAAAGAGCTCTTACATAATTGTACCATTGTTCCTGAATGCTGCAGCCTGACTTTCCACAGAACACAAAGGAGATAAATCAGAAACTTGGGTGAACACCTGGAAGGAGCTTCACCAGCAAAGGCCTGGCCCCAGACAAAAGCAAGAGGAGCTGGCATAGGATTTCTCAAAAAGATGTGCTGGAGTACATCTGTCAAACAGGATTGTATTTTAGTGAAGCTGCCCAGAGCAGAGGATGAATGTCCTGAATTGCATCAATGCTTTGTCATGTGCAGACCATGAGGCTGGTGGGAGTGATCCAGCTGGGCAGGAAAGGGCTCTCCTGTGGAGCCAACAGCTTCAGCACAGAGAAACCCACCACTGCTGCCAGGGACAGTCCTGTTCCAGAGGAGAGGAACCCAGCAGCAGCCAGCCCAGAACCACTGCTGCCAGGGACAGTCCAGCTCAGGGGGCTCAGGCTGTGCTGCAGAAATGCACAGCCCGTGGCACCTGCAGGCCTCATCCTCAGGACACCTTCTCTCCAGATATCATCTAGGGAGCAGAATGCTTGCACTTTTCCTCCACCAGCCTGTGCTCTCCTAAGAGCTGTGGAGGTTTCTGTGAGTCAGACAGTGAGATAATTGAGTTTTACCTGCAAGAGCATTAAGGCAACTGTTCATGCCAAAAAGACTGCACCAAGGCTCTAAAGCAGTGAATAGTAATATCCCTGCTTGAGGAAAAGACTTGACTATCTGCCCATTTACATTATAAACTCTTTGGAAATGAGAACTGTTAATGATGGGACTCTGAAATTGACTACACAAAAGTTTGCACCAAGAAAAGATGAGTGCCAATAGCTCAAGGCAACTTAGTCCTAGCTAAACAAAATTAAATTCTCTCTTCCCCCAGCTTTTTGTGGCACTGAAAAATGTTCACATGATGTAGTCAGCTCTCCAGGCTACCAAAGATGCACTTACAAAGGAGCATTTTAATGGCAGGCCACTGTCTGAGGGTGCATTAATGCATCTATTGCCTTGGAGACAGAGAAAGGGCAGCCTGTGGAGACAGAATGAACCCTCTATGACATAGAGCCTTGGCACATCCCTATTGACATGGTCTAAGGGACTGGATTATATTGGAGAGGGGGGCAGGAACAGTAAAACAAGCCGATGTGAATGACAGGGTACACAAATTCAACAAGATCAAAATTACATGGGGTCCAATTCATAGACATATTGGACTGTTTGCTGCCTTAGCATCCTTAAATGACTTTCCTAAGATTACCTCATGACTGTTAAGGCTATAAGGATTCAGTGATTCTTTTTATAAATAACGCTTTGAAGTGAAATCCATAAAATAGGTTTAGGCTAAAATTAGAAGGATTCTAATAAAATACCTTGTGAATACAAGCGTTTCATGGTTGTTTCAACAGATACCACCTTAAACATGTTTCATTGCCCTGCACAATGGCACATCCAACCAGAAAAGGAAGCGTAACAAATCAAATATGGGTGGGTTTGCCACCCATGCAGGGTGCAAGGAGGCTGTGTCAGGCTGGAACCATCAGCCTCCAAGCACCAGCACTGCACAGGGCTCTGGCACCAGGGGCAGGGCTGTGGGAAGGCACAGGTGGCTGCAGCACGGTGGCAGCACTGTGATCCTTCAGTCCTTCTGCTGCTGCCTCCAGGTTAGTGACTGTGCAAAATAAACAAAAAGCACATGAGATGAGAAGAAAAGGAGTTACAAAGGTCTTTTTCTTCCACCAACATGAGACACTGCCAGTCTGTATTTCTTTTTTCTCCCCAGACAAGCTGCTTGGCAGTCCCATCCTCTGGCATGCCCAAATTGGAGTTCTCCCACTCCTTTCATCTGTCACTGGTTAAAAATGCAGAAGTGACATGTCTGGGCTCTTAGCAACCCAGCTAACTGGCACAGCACTGAAAAGACCACCAGCAGCTAAACCATTCACTGCACCCTGATGTCTGGAAACACAGAAAATGCTGGGGACAGTGGGGACATTTTTCAAAAATGCTTCTACCAGAGACTGAATCAGAAAGAGTCAGCTCAAGCCTATTTTGTCATAGCAGGGTCTGCTGCTAGGATTTGCTATGTACCCTGCTCACCACAAAAACAAACGTCCTCCCCACCAATGGAGAGACATGTGCCAATCCTTAGGGAACACAGCAAAACAGGGCTGGGACTGAGTTCATTGCTCTTGCTGCATTCCCAGAGGGTTTACACCAGCACTGGGGGACACGGGGCAGAGGAGTTACACTGCACAGCAAGGACATGGCACATCCTCTAGGAGAGAAAGGAATGAAGTTCTTCTCCAGAGAAACAATCTCCATCCTTGGGTAACACAGGTCAGTATGGTGAGAAGCACTGAAGTCCTGGCCATCAGCACACACGCAGCTCCCAAACCTGCTCACAGCCTGGCCTTCCCCTGCTTTGTTCCCCTGGTGTTAGGAGACACAGTGAGCAAGAGCATCAGGAGCAAGCCAGGCTTGAGGAATGCAGCCATGCCCAAAGGGGATGCATGGATACCAGGACACAGGAAATCCAGCACTCACCTCTGAGGAGTCGGCATACTGAGCAACACGTGCACACTGAAAGAGGAGCTGAGCATTAGGAACTCATCAGGTGAAGCCACTCACTCTTAGAAAACACTTGGCACCATTTTGCAGTGGACTTCAAGGCCCTCATGTGCACAGGGAGATGAGTGTCTCCACTGACCAGCATGGAGCACAGACTCAGGAATGTGCCTCTTCCCTGGCTGTGTCCACATGGGTGTTAAGGGAGGGATTAGGTCCAGCTCCTTGGCACTGTTCTCAGACCACTGAACAAAAGTCACTCCTGACTGGAGGGACCTGGGAGAGTGGATAAGCAATGGGAGCATGGATGCATAACACAATAACAAATGCAGGGTGTAATACTGGGATTTGTAAGGCTGTGTGCCTGGGTTTTTTCAGTAGGCTTAGAATTCTTGTAGAAGTCTGGCTGCTGCAAGCACTCACACAGCTTCTAAGTAAAACTATCCATACATGCCAGACCTTCCTAAACTATCAGGGTCCTACAGGAATTAATATCCTGATGGAATTGCCATAAGAATGAAAGCAACTGATGAAATTGCATTGCACCCTTCAGTGAAAGTCTGTGTGATTTTTTTTAGTTATGGTTATCCTGCACTGGAGACACAGGAAGTTCTTCCATAGTTCCAAAGTTATTCTAAAGCAGCACTATTGAAAAGAAATGCTGTCTGTCCCTTATATTCTGGCCTCCACCTTCCTTGTCCCATTGATGTCTGTGCTGCTGCTCTCCACTGGCTTGAGAATCTGACCCAGGTCAAGAGCAACATGGAAGGAAGGGATAGCATTTAACTTGAAGCAATTCCTTGACTGGGGTCAGCATGTAAAAATAAGATTTAAATGTATCCAAAGGAAAAGACAGATGGGCCAGAGGCAAGCAGCGGGGTTACACTCTTTTAGTTAGTTTTAGTGGTGTTGGACACTCTTTTAGTGGGAGTCCAACACTGGCAGGATGCTGCTGTGAAACTGTGGGCTACCTCAAGAGATCTGCTGCGAGTTCAGCCTCTGATTTTACACAGAAGGAAGCTGATCACTGTTTTATAACAGTTTATTCTCTGGGAGTTCAGACAACATATATCTGAGTTGTTCTCACAGATCTTTCTCATTGATGGGGACTGAATACCCAAACACATCCTGACTACTGATGCTCCTTCGCCTTTGTCCTGTACTGCAAAGCCTTTGGTACTTCAGCACAAGACCAAAAAAACAGCTTTGATTCTCTCCTGCTCAGAGGAATGGAGAGTATCAGAAAGCACACTGTCCATTTCTGCTTGGAAACCATTCCAGATAAGAATGATCTTAGCGTGGGACAAGCTTAAGCAGAAAGAACACTGGGTTTGGGCAATACAGAGGGTGGCTCCATTATTTGTGATCCTCTGCCCCAGGCAGCATCAGCTCTGTACACTGACTGTCCTGTGATGTAACACAAATTAAGGCAATGTGATAAGGTTAAGAAGTGCAAAAGCTCCTGTTAATAAAGACAAGTCTTGATGTGGATTGTTACTGGACATTTGCCAGAACAACAGATTCCCTTGAAAAATATTTGGAAATACTGTTCTGGAATTTACAGTTTTCCATAACAATGCACAGCCACATGACATTTAGAGTTCCTGAAGGAAAGGGTCAGTTCTGCCTGTGGAAAAAAGAGCAAGTTGGAACAGGCATTGAAGTAAAATGTCACAGTCCATCATCTGGGTGCCATGACAATGAACTGAAAAATGCTGAACCAAGAATGAAGTGAAAAATCAGACAAAGAGGTGGTGGGCCTGGTGTGTGGAGGAAGGGGATCACTGTGTGTCCTTGGTGCCCATCAAAGAAAGGTGTGCACATTTCCCTGGAGCTGCTGCCTCATGGGATGTGCAGCTACTCACAAACCATGGCAAAAGCCTCTGCCTCTTCATGTCATCTGGGTGTGGCTTTTGGCTGGGTGTGAGGAGGAGGAGAAGGGTCTTTCTGTGGGATGTGTGTGAACACACCTAGAGCCCACTGTTTGCTGAGCTGTCCCACCCCTGTGAGGGACCATCCTCACAGCAGAACTGCACTATGCACAGGCACCACTGAAAGGGAGCAAAGACAGCAAAAGGTAGAAGAGGAAAAAAAGTAGCAAAGGGTAGAGGAATAGGAGCAATTCTCCATGCCTCAAAAGCAGCTCTTGCTTATTATATTTCTTGGCCTCATAAGACACTCTTCAGCAGGCAAAAAAATCCTTCCCTGTATCTGCATGAGGTCGTTAAAAAATGCCAAGCTCTTCACATAGTACTTTGTGTCAAGAGGGGATTCAAAGAATCACAAATACATCTAAGCAGCACCATTCACATTACAAAAATAACAACAGTGGAAACAAAATGGACTGAGTGTTTCTGCAGCCTGGTCCTGCAGCCAAATTTTGGCCACAGCCCACTGGTGTCAGGAGAGCCTTTTCACATGCTTCAGTGGGCTTGGAAACATGCCCAAGAGTTGTGAAACCAGAACCTGAACCACTGCTGGTGCTCACAGAGGGACTGGGGGGTTTAATATCAACAAAACTGAATTTTAGCTCTCCCTTCCTGGTGCAGGAAAGACAACAGACCTCTCTCTATCCCCCTGTTTTTCCAAATCACTTTCTTTCAGATACCACATCTGCTCTTAAACATGGTCACACAACAGGACCAGCAACACCAAGGACCACACGAGGTCTGTCTGTGTTTCCATTGCTCAGGGAATGGGACCCATATAAACAACTCTAAGCTCAACCTAAAGAGCCCTCTCTTCTCTTTGCCTCACGGCTCTAAGTCAGAGTATGCTTCCGTATGCCATTTGTTCTGCACCAAAGCTGACTTGAGGAACTTCCAGTTCCTGGCCTCTTGATCTCATATCTCACTGAAAATCTCCCAAAACAGAGATCTTAGAGGTTTCCAGTAAGGCAGGTTGACACATTGATTCAAACTAAAAATAATCCCTCAAAAATATTACAAGAAAGTATTTTTAATCTGCAACAAAATCAAGATTTCTTTCTCTGAGTTCACCACTCTCTACTACTGGACAGTTTGAGTAGCCAGAGCTGGGCTGCTCCATCACCTTGTCATCAAAACAGATTATGGGCTAACAGAATCACAGCATGGTGTGGGTTGGAAGGGACCTCAAAGCTCATCTTGTTCCATCCCCACTGCCATGGGCAGGGACACCTTCCATTAGACCAGGTTTCTCCAAGCCTCATCCAGCCTGGCTTTGGGCACTTCCAGGTATGCTAGGTATCAGCTGCAACTGAAGTTCCCCTGATAACATCATGATAATGAAAATAGTAACAACAATAATATAAACCCCAGAGAAACTCTATTCAGCATAAAAGAGCAAAGATCAGTGCCTGAGGAAGGGACCACCACAGTGCAAAGCCACCACTTCTAGCTGGTATTTACAGCAGACCCAAGTGGGGTCAGCTCCCAGCTGACAGGGATTGAACTTTTATTGGCTAATTTAGCTAACATGCATTTTTATGTTCAGCCATCATTGTTCCAGCTATACCTTAATTATAACTACATGAGTTTCAGAGCTCTCATCAAGAAGGGATGGTGGTTTTGGTCTGCTTGTCTTTCCTGAGTGCTTAATCTAAAATTCTATAGTAGTGAGGCTATTACCACTCAGAAACTGAGCTCTGCTGTCTTGTCAGTCAAAGAAAACACACCAGGTAAGAGCATGGCTCTGTGTTCCTCACTGTGAACATAATCTTTAAGTCCAGCCCTCAGCTAATTCCCTTAATTAACACGGTCACAAAGAGATCAAGGAGAAGACACAATTCTAGCTGGCAGCAGTCAAGGACAATCAACATAAGCCTTCTTTGGAATTATATAAAACTTCAGGGTTTTGTGGGGGAATCATTAGCCTCCTATTTTAAGGTTTTTCTTAGATGAATAAAGCAAATGTTTCTTTTTGTGTTGGTTCGTTTTTTAATGTTGCTAACATAATTTGTTAGGGACTAGGATAGAAGGAAAAAAGAGAGGAAAATACCTCTAAAATGAAAAAAAATCTAAACAAAAATATCTGCTTGAAGTCTACTTTGGGTAACAGGTTGCTGATGTAAGAGGTGATAGAGCACCAGGAAAACAGAAGCAGATTCTGTAATTCTTA